ATATATATATATATTATATATTATATATATATATTATATATATATATATATATATATATATATATATATATATATATATAGGGAAGTACCACCTCTATGGCTGGAATGGGAACCCACATCCTCAGAGAAGACAATAAACGTGTATATATATATTATATATATATATATATATATATATATATATATATATATATATATATATAAACACTGATCTCTGGCTGAAGGAGACTCGAATCTACGAACCTTGGAACAAGGTACGCAGTTCTTTACCAATTACCCACAATGGACCAATACCTTGGAGTCCAGCTTGCGCTAGACTTTGATCCAAGGCAGCCAGCTTTCAGGGAGAAGCCTACATTTCGACATCTGGTCAAAGATTGTTGTAGGTTCGATTCCCCACCACCAACAGCACCACAAATAAGTTTACCTCTTGTCCTCTCACTGCCAATACCCTCGGAAAAATGGTAATGGAAGACTGTAGCTAAATTCATTATAAGCTGGAGGGGATTCGAACCCTAGGTAATGTGTTTGCGGTTTGAGGTTCCTTTAAAAACAAAGTAGTGCAGTTATTTCTGATAGTTATGAATTCCATTTTTTTTAAGTTAGTGTGAAGGTTTTGCGCACCAGCAACCACTATTCTTCTTCTGATTTGTTTAAAATTTTAGTGATAATTAATAGGTTTCTGAGAGAGGTGTTATGATTCAAAATGACTCTTAAGAATATCTTCACAATGCTTGGTCTCGGTGGCCTAGAAAAAAATCTGTGTATGAATGAGCTGCGTTGAAGGTTCTGATACTCTTAGAAGTTTGAGTTTTTGGACTACTTGTCAGTGCTAACTTACAGATCATCGTTATTTAAATTTGAAAAAAGAGAAATTGAGTCTTTAGCTACCGAATAACAAACTGAAAATTGTGCAAAAACGTTTCACCTCTGTCCTCACTGCACCTTGAGTAATGATATCGGAAGTCATATCGGAAGTTATATCGGAAGTTATATCGGAAGTTATATCGGAAGTTTGCCCTGGAACTCCAGAAATCTACAGAGTGCGTTGACCTATTTACACTGTACCATAAGCACGGCGATACTGAATTCATAAACTCAATATATTTTGCAAAGTGGTATATATTTTCCGGGTGTTATACATTTTATATTTTTCTTAGTGGTATTTACCTTTCGGTTTTCTTGGTCGTAATCCTCTATATGAGTTGATCTGCTGCATTTCCTCTATACTGTAACTGAGACCTTCTCTATGTTTTCATGGGTGAAACATTCTCTGCATAAATTTCAAAGTTAGCATTCCTGTATGTTCCAATGTAAAAAAAAGATAAGACCTTAAAACAAATCAACTTACCTCTGTGCTACCTTAAGAGTGCTGACGGAGGCTAATCTCTGGTATGATGACTGGTTGAAAGCCATGGAATTTAACATCGAGTTAAAACCCAACACTAAAGTTGACCAGAAGGTGTGACGCACGAAGGGGCTGGTGTCCAGGCTGTGGAAGGAACAGGAATGAGATTTGGTTACTGAGTCGTAAAGAAAAGACTTACATAGCAAAGACGTAAATGAGTTGTTCACAATGGTCAAAACTCAGTACCTAGTCGTCTCTATTTATAGAAAATTTTGACAGGAATTTATGATTTTTAATTTCTTAGGGCTGATCATACCTATTCATGAAGATTTGTAATAAGTTTCCTATTAACCCTCCTTTATTAAAATCAATTCACTTTTCACGCACCAGAGACTAAAAAGTACTTCTCCCTTTACCTTCCATTCCTAATCTAAATATCCATTAATTTTACATCATTAACAAACTACTTGTTTCTATTATGTCATTTATATGTTTCAGGAACAGCATTACTTCTAGTAATGTTCTTACGTCTCGTCCCATAATTAAGTATAACAGAAGAAGTACCTTTGAGCGTATTGTCTGGAGTTTACCTGGAGTTTACCTGGAGAGAGTTCCAGGGGTCAACGCCCCCGCGGCCCGGTCTGTGACCAGGCCTCCTGATGGATCAGAGCCTGATCAACCAGGCTGTTGCTGCTGGCTGCACGCAAACCAACGTACGAGCCACAGCCCGGCTGATCAGGAACTGACTTTAGGTGCTTGTCCAGTGCCAGCTTGAAGACTGCCAGGGGTCTGTTGGTAATCCCCCTTATGTGTGCTGGGAGGCAGTTGAACAGTCTCGGGCCCCTGACACTTATTGTATGGTCTCTTAACGTGCTAGTGACACCCCTGCTTTTCATTGGGGGGATGGTGCATCGTCTGCCAAGTCTTTTGCTTTCCTAGTGAGTGATTTTCGTGTGCAAGTTCGGTACTAGTTCCTCTAGGATTTTCCAGGTGTATATAATCATGTATCTCTCCCTCCTGCGTTCCAGGGAATGCAGGTTTAGGAACCTCAAGCGCTCCCAGTAATTGAGGTGTTTTATCTCCGTTATGCGCGCCGTGAAGGTTCTCTGTCATTTTCTAGGTCGGCAATTTCACCTGCCTTGAAAGGTGCTCTTAGTGTGCAGCAATATTCCAGCCTAGATAGAACAAGTGACCTGAAGAGTGTCATCATGGCTTGGCCTCCTAGTTTGAAGGTTCTCATTATCCATCCTGTCATTTTTCTAGCAGATGCGATTGATACAATGTTATGGTCCTTGAAGGTGAGATCCTCCGACATGATCACTCCCAGGTCTTTGACGTTGGTGTTTCGCTCTATTTTGTGGCCAGAATTTGTTTTGTACTCTGAAGAAGATTTAATTTCCTCATGTTTACCATATCGAGTAATTGAAATTTTCAATCGTTGAACTTCATATTGTTTTCTGCAGCCCACTTTTT